TTCTGATTATTAAGAAAAGTGGGCTTACTAGATAATATTCTCAAGTTCACTCATGGCCATAAAGTTGAAGGAAGAGTTAATTCAGAGAATTCATATAGAAGGTGGTTAGCAGAGGGTTGGAGTGTTGGGTTAGACCCGGATAGTTACAGTAGTTGCTTTGATATGGGACCTACCCAACTTGCTACTCTTCTGTAACTCTGATGTTAGAATGAAGGTTATGATTTTCCATTAACCTCATAGTCCTTTAGGCTGATCACTAGATTGAGATACTATAAAAATTCAAATTACTAAATAAATTTTAAAAATCCCCTTCTACCAGCAGAGCTTGCATTATGAGGTGGCAAAGACTCTCCATCTCAGGAAATGTAGAAAAGGGAGTCTGTCCTTGATTTTCTTTGTTGAACATTTATTTTCCTTTTAAATAGTTAAATTGATTTTGTTACTCTCCTGAATGACATTTCTAAAGGTATTTGCTTGTTGGCCATGTTAAGATTTTAGCTTTACACAACTGCTAGTGGGGAAGCTAGGCCATGTGGAGAACTAATTAATTAGCAGCTATGTTATTAGTCATAAGTGACTGGATTATAGAAATAACTTGTTCTGCTTAAAAAAGGCTATAGGTAATTGGGAAAACAGAGTTAAAAAGATGATGCTTCATTTAGCTGAAAATGTAGACTGGTGATTTTTAAAGGCTGGCATTTTAATGTCATGTATAAGATAAATTTTAACAATGATTTGTCAGCTAAGTAATTAGTTGTATTAATTTAATGTGAAGAAATAATTTGTGTAGCCCTTGGAAAAAAGTAAACAGACTAAAAAACCTGAAGCTTCAGTTAAAAAAAAAAATTAAAATAATTTAAAGAAAAATTTGCAGTGCCCCTGAATTTGATCTCTTGAGTTTTGTAACAATTTCAGTATAACTGATGAGAGATAAAGGTAGCAGTGTAACGGGCATTCTGTTAGGCCTTCTCTGGTCTCAATCTGATTTAATCATCAGCATATAGCAGATTTATCTTCTTTTACTGATATACTTCTGTCATGCAATTTAAATCAAGTCCAAAAGATTTCCCAAGTGTAACATGGTTATAGTGTAAAGTGAAATATTGTTTACTGGAAAAAATGCAGATTTGAAGGGAAGTACTTACAAATTTATTATATTTTACTGTTTTAAAAAATTTTAACTGACATTTAGCTGCCATTTTATAACTATTTTTTTTTCCTTTTGAAGTAACTTTTCCTTTGAATACATACATAGTTCTATTTCTAGTGGAACTATAAAACTTAAAAACCTGAGATATGAAATATGACATAATCATGGAATAATTTAGGTGAAAGGAACCTTTGTGTTTTCCAGCCTCCTACTCATCTGCTGTGTGGTTCATCCTCCTGATCCATGCAAAGCTGTCTTCAAATTTAGGCCAGGTTGCTCAGGGCCTGTCCCAGCTAGGGTTGGAAATTCTTTTATGGCAGAGGCTGCACAACTCTCTGGATGACCCCTTCCAGTGCTTAATTGCTCATTCTGGAAGACTGTTTCCTTATATCCCTTCATAATTTCCTTTGTTGTAACTTTTGACTATTGCATCTTGTCCTTTTGTTGTGCTTTCTGTGAACTGTCTGGCTCTGTCTTCCATCATGCTGTTTAGGCAATGGAGGATGATAGGGGAAATAGATCCTCCCTAAACCTTCTCTTTTCCAAGCTGAACAAACTGAGCTCCATTGGCTTTTCTTCAAGTTGTGTGCTGCAGCCTCATGATTGTTTTATTTTTAGGGTCCGTTTAACTGAACTGTCTCCAGTCTGTTGATTCAGTTGTATTCAGAGCGCCAAAGTGTACCCAGTTTTCCAGGTGGGACCCCACCTGTGTTGAATAGAGAGGGGATAATTGGTGCCTTTGATCTGCAGGCTCAGCTGACCCTAATACAACCCAATGTGTTGTTAAACCCCCACGGCTGTACTAGGACCTTTTCTGCACAGCTCATACCCCACCACTCAGTCCCCGGTACCAGTACAGGCCTTCAGATTTGTCTTTGAACTTTGTGAGATAGTCCACAAGACTGTATAAATAAGCTGGGTTTTTTTGTCTGAGGTGAGTGTCCATGTCACCCTCCAGTCACAATCATTTTAGGGTATGTAGGAACAAAGGGAAACAGTGCTTTCCTTTACCTAGCTACGTGCGTGTGTCTTGATTGTTCATGCACTTGCACGAGTTGTCACCACCCCATGTCCCTTAGTACCTTCCATCTGAATGAAATGGAGAGGTTTTTTGAGTTTCCAAGCCCAGCCTCCTGTGCTGCATTAGGGACAGCATTGCCAACAGGCCGGGGGGGGGTGATCCTTGCCCTCAGCAACAGTGAGACCATAGCTGGAGGAGTGCTGTGTCCAGTGCTGAGCTCCCTTGTATGAGAAAGATACAAACATACTGGAGTGGGTCCAGCAAAGGGCCACTAAGATGTTAAAGGGACTGGAACATCTCTCATATGAGGAGAGGCTGAGAGCTGGGATTTTTCAGCCTGGAGGAGGTTTTCATTTTATCCATGTTTATAAATACCTGATGTGAGGCAGAAAAGAAGGCAGAGGCGCGCTGTTCTCAGCTGTATCCAGTGGAAGAACCAGAGTCAATGGGTACAAAGTGAAATACAGAAAATTCTATTTAAACGTAAGAAAAAAATCTTTTTACTGTGAAGGTGATCTTATACTGGAACAGGTTGCCTAGAGAGGTTGCAGAGTCTCTCTCCTTGGACATACGCAAAACCTGACTGGACAACCTACTCTAGCTGATCCTGCTTTGAGGAGGAAGGTGGAACTGGACAATCTCCTGAGGACCATTCCAACCTCAAGTATTCTATGATTCTTGTCTGTTTTCCTTAGCCATTAATTTTCTTTTCCTCTGAATGACTTTTCCAAAGACAAGCATATCCTCCTGTTGTGCAAACTGCCTTTACTATTTCAGGAAGGATCATACTGTTAGAAAATGAACTGTTTATGAAAGTGTCAAGCCCGAGGTTTGTCAAGAGAGGTATTAGAGCCCCTAAATGGACTCTTCTGACAACTTATCCTCACCTGGTTAGTTAGGGTTTGTGCCTTTCAGTTTAGATGATGACTTTGGCAGCAGAAGGTAAACTTTCTTAGGCCACAACTCCCTAAGTTCTTTGTTTCACTGTATCTTCCGTGTATATAGAAGTGTAGGTCTCACATGATGGAAGATCCTCTTACTCTCATTCAAGCTTGTCCTAATCTGAGGATTTAAAGAACTTCAGTAACCTTTCTTTTTCTGTCTGGTGATTAAGCAGTCTCCAAGGACAATTAGCTACTTGAATCTGCACAGTTTGGGTATTTTCATGAATATCTGTGTATGCGTGTGTCTGATTCTGTTGGACGTAGCATGAGAGACTACCAGAACTCAATACTTGTTCTTTGCTTACTTGCTGTGCCTCTGGTAGCTTTGCTAGTTACAGTGCAGTCATCTTTGGATCTTCTTTTTGAAGGCCCAGAGTCCTTTGCTTGTAGAGTAGGTCAATGTTTATCAGATTTCAGTACTAAGGGTAAATCTGCTGGTTCCAGTCTTTGAGAGAGTTGGGACAGTTTGCTGTAAGAGTGCAAATGGAAGAAATAGTACACTTGAGGGGAAGAAATACACAGATGAGAGATATTCCTGTTCAGAACTGCAAACTGGATGGTCCTTATGACGCCATTGCTTTAATTTCTCATCCCTGGTATGATGAACTGCTGTTTACTGGCTTGTGTCAGGAGAGTGGCTTCTCATTTTCAGTGCATACCTGCTAACAGTACTAAGTGCTTAGATATTGCTGCATATTTTATTTTATCCTTCATTCCACCTTTCACTTTTTCGTGGCTCCAGTATTGCTGAATGTTATAAAGCGTGCAGCTGACAGGAAGATTTTATTTATAAACATTGAAATTTATTTGACCTGGAAACTGATTGGAGACTTTAAACACTTTAAAAGTTGAATGCTGCTATTCAGAGGGGAAAGAAGGGCCCTTTAGCCCAGGCAAGTATTCCAGCCATACTTATTCCCATAGAAATGCCAACTTTCTGCCACTGCTGTTGTTTCTCAGTGATTAATACTTGGCCATAGTAGTCACCAGTGCTGGTTCAAGAGAGTGTTTCTTACAGCACTCTGCCTGTCAACTTTATCCCAGCGTTTCAGAGAATACCTTGAACCATTTCTCAAGAGACTGACTTTTTTCATCCAAAACAAACAGTAAGGATCAAACTATTTGTTCATGTTCTGATCTGTTTCCAGAATCATATGCATCCTGTGCTAGTCCTCTCTTAAGAGACTCAGGAATTTTATTTTGAATATCCAGTATCTTCATCACTCTGGAGAGCTTCTGGAGATTTCTCCTTCCCACGTCTGTATAATGCTTACCTCCTTCATAGCTATTGCTTTGGCTTAGGAGAGCTGAAGAAATGCAGTGATTGCTAATGAGTAAACTTGCTTTCTAAAAAATTTGTGCCTTGGGACATATTCAGATGCCTTCTTGCAGGAGATACCAAGGTTCCATTGAGACCAGGGAATCATTCCACCTAGATTTTAAGAAATAATGTAAAGTCTTGGCAAAGGAGTATGCTAATTGATACTGTATGTTAAATATTCTTTGCCTTTTTATTTGGAGATGGTATCGTTCATTGGGAAGATAGTTTTGCTTCTTTGTCTTTTATAGGAAGTGCTGCAATATGGAGATCTCTGAATAAGACTGTCACAATTGAACATCTCACAGCGTAGCAAAAGTGAAGGTACCTAACAGGATTCAAGCACACTCTGTAAAGGCACAACTCACCACTGTCACTTCTGAGGATTGTTCCTTTTTCTGAGACTTTATAGAGCTGTGTCTTGAAGATGTGTTAACTGTTGTTGAACATTTTATTGTACCTGAGAGCTTTGGGTGGGTAGCTGCTTTTTGCAAAGCAGTCGTCCTCTTAGATACAGGTCTGTGTGAATGAGTGGTGCTTTGAGTCAGTCCCCTGCAGTTTGAATGCATGCGTGCACAGCCATTCAAAGGAGAAAGAAGAGTCGCTGACAGAAATGGAGTTTCTTTAAAGCACACAAATAATGTGGCTAGAATTCTTTACCATTTTATTTTAGTAAGAATCAAGCAATGGAAGGAAGTTGCTTAGTTTCGGTGAGAAGAGACGGTGGAGTATGCTCTGTCCTTTCATACCACGTATATGTTAACTATGCAGGGGCTGGGATTGGGAGGCTCCGATTGGAGGCTGAGGGGCTTTGTGCGGGTTATAGTGGTTAGATTCACACCCGTGATGTGAAAACATTTTTAGGAAATACATCTCAAAAACCTTCAGTTATGAGAAGGTTTATTCTTTCTTTATCCATGTTTATTGATTTAGTAAAGTCCTGTCAATGAAGAGGTTGGCAGTCTTTGAGTCATTCAAAAGTCTGCAGTCCCAAATTGCAGTTTTGAGGACTCCTTAATGATGATCTTTCAGCAGACTGTCAAAAAGCTTTTCAGTAGGCTATATTCAAATATGTCTTGGTATGTTCAATGTGTAGGACAAAATGAAATGCTCATTTCCGTAATAACTCATTCTGTTTTGTTTTCTGAGTATCTTGAAAGAACAGCTAAAACAAGAACAAAATTATCACATTGATATTTTATGATAATTTATATTTGTGATATATATGAACTGAGGTCAATCAAAAGTTATTTATTTTTATTTTAAATTAAAGTATTCCTAGCTTGATGAGAGCTGAGACTCTTCCTGTAAACACCAAGAAAGAAAAGGCATTTTGCAGAAAGCTCAGAGAGAAGAGAGATGAAGAGAGAGCTGAACTGAGGTGAAGTAGGAGCTGGATAATAGAAGGACTGTGTTCCCTAATATTTAAAGCTATCTGAAATAAGCAATATATGCAAGCTTTTGCTTGCTGTTGCCTTTTTTTTTTTTTTTTTAAGAAAACAGTGGATTTTTTATGTCACTGAATTTGGGAGGTGATGTTTATAAAGTTTAGGTCATATGATACAGAGTGTGCACCACTCTTTATATTGAAATATGAGGTCTTCTGTTGTCTATCTTCATCCACAGATAACTGATCTATTCGTGTGAACAGAGTGATTTTCTTTCATGACATCTGTTTAAGAGAATTTTTTACAGGCGCTCTCATATCTCAAATATTGCTGGTATTGGCAGTCTACTGAATTATACTTCATTATAGCATGTGGCTTAAACTTACACTTTTCTTTTACAGTTTGGAAGAACAGAAGTAATTGATAATACTTTAAATCCAGATTTTGTAAGAAAATTTATAATGGACTACTTCTTTGAAGAAAGAGAGAATCTGCGATTTGATTTGTAAGTTAACAATCTTTGACTCTAATATTGCAACCTCTGTAAACACCTTAAGTTTTGTCCAGTGTAAAATTAACTTGAAAAGAAGAGAGAGTATCATCTGTTGACATGGAATACATTAATAAACATGATTGATTGATTTGGCATTGCTTCCTCAGAAATATAATGCATAACATAATAATGACCGAGTTTTAAGAAATTGGCAGATGTTAACTAGTCAAAGTACAATCATATTCACAATCATTACTTTTAGAAAATAGTTGGAAAATTAAGGATGTCAAAATGGTAAATATTCTTGCAGCCTAGCCAGTAAAACAGGTATGGACATACTGTCCAGAAATAAAACATTGTACAAATAGTACAGACCCAAAATTTTCTTTACTAAAATAAATGCCACTATGCATTTTAAGATTTTAAAATGAGAGCAGTTGTTGTAGAAGTAGATGGCTTTTGACATTATTCCAGATGTACTCATTTCATTCCACTGGTGGAATTGGTTTGATTTTCAATTTATTCTTTGGAAAATAGAATTGAGAGTCCAGTCACCAGGTCACCTTGCATGTCATCTGTTACATTTTGCCCCATTCTTATTATTTCAGTCTTTGTGATAAACAAGCTTGTCTTGTGGGTTTTTTTAATTCTCATCTTTTTTATTAGGAATTCTTCCTAACCTTGCCCTGTGAGAGAGCACTTGATTAACCTTCATAAATAATTAAGGGAAAGTCTTTCACTCAGTTTTGCAGTATAGTATGTATAGTGGCCACAATTTTTCTTAACATGTCCTTTTTAGTTGAAGAACCCTTTTCCTGTCTCTTTTTGTTTCCTTTACGAGATGTACTTTAGCTTGAGTTTTGTCAATTCTTATTTTGTGTTCCTAAGATTTCTGCCTTCTTGTGTATTTCTTTTAGTTTATTTGTTCTTGAGGAAGATTTAGGAGAATCATCTGTTATGTTACTTACCAAATAAATGTATCAAGAAATATACGGTGTAGTCTGCCTTCCTGTGCTTTCTAATCCTAATGAGTGAGGTCTCCTGATACACTCTGTGGAATTATGACAAATCCTAGTCAGGTGTTGGTTATAGTAGTGGTAAGCTGTAGTATTATCACTTCCCAATTTAAAGTTAGGTTGCAAGTTTGCCTTGATATAGAAACTGCATTTATTGCATTTCTGTCTTGTAGACAGCAAAACAGATGATGAAAGACTTCATAATTTGCCTAAAATCTCCTAGCAAGTTCATGATAAAACCATTTTTAAATCTTCTAGGCTTTAGTCTCAGTATGCCATTTTCTTATCCAAGTAGTTGCTTCAAAGCAACTCTGACACTTTCTTGATTTTTTTTAAACCCCCGAGTTTCTGGAATGCAAGTCAATCTCTGTACAGTAAGCAGGGCACAAAATAAATAGGACGATGATCACATTAATGATGATTTTTCCCATAGCAGTGGAAGAAAAAGTTTGATGCCTGATAGATGTATGTTAGTAATGTTAATTTTGTTTTAAGTTGCCAGCAGGGTGTACTGAAATCATCTTGAATGGCAGCATTTTCTGTATCGTGGAAACAATAAACCCCATGTCTAATTTTTCTTTAGCTGTAAATGTCTCTTTATAGCATGTCAGAATGCTTCCTAAGTTAACAAGAAGTATTGGAGGGATGAGTGAGGAAAAATGTTCCATTGTGTTCAGTACACAGATAGCAGTTAGCTGTTTCCACCTAGACTTCAACTATTTCAAGGAGTGAAAGGAAATACTCAGTGCCAAGATAGATTACAGTATGCTTCTAGATGGCTCAGTACAAATTCTTTCATCTTCACCATGGAAGCCTGGTGCAGACTTTACTTTTTATTTTATAAGTTGGGTTTAATGTCACTAAATCTGCTGAGTATAATTCTTGCCTGCTATTTAAAATAACTTTAAGATCTAGTCACTTTGTGAAACAAAGGATTCTCCTCCACATATAGGTAGAGCATTGCTGAAATAAAGACACAGTTGGGGCTGTATAGGAATCTTGATTTGGTTGCCTCTTGCTCCTTGTAGGATGCATGTATGTTATAGGGAGGAGGCAGTGCAATAGAAGAGAAGAGCAAAAGAAATGAACCAAGAAAGAGAAAGGAAGCTCAGTCTAGGCAAAGAAAAGAAAGTCTGTAAAGAACTTCTGGATAAGTGCTATCTGAAAAGGACTTGGACCTGGAAGGGAAAATACAGTCTCCTGTTTGATTCCTCTTCTACTCAGAGAAATGGACTCCTGTTTGTTCATTTAGGAAAAGCTGTAAATACCAAACACGCTCTGTACTTATCAGAAAGACCTGACTGCTTTCTGCTGCTGTTCTGGATTACCTGGACACAAATCCATTCTGAACTCAAAGCTGAGTAACTGCTTTTAACGTTTGCCTGCAAGTGACCATACAGCCATTATCTGTGAATTTACTTTAGAGCCCTATAAAAATGAAATACTGCAGAACTCAAAGTTAAAAATGTGGATCTTCATATAGCTACTCATGGATTAAAACACCAATTTAGATCTGGAAAGAAGCATCTTTAGAAACCTTCCTTTTTTTAAATTCCGCAGCAAAATTGTGTACTGCTGTCGGCCAAAGTGTTATTTTTCAAAGAAACTCACTCCTCATATGATTCATATTTTTTGCAACAAAAAGAAAGTGGCAAGTATATCTCTGATTTTTGGTGTTCTGATAAATGAGCATGAGCCCCTGCCTATGCTGTACAGCCACCAATGTCTCAGGCCCCTTTCTGTTCATATTTAATGATATTTAATGATTTCGCCAATGAAGTAGTTTTTGGTTTTAGTTGTGCAGCTAGCCCTCAGATCAAATCACCAGTTGTGTTTTTCTGTTCAATTTCCCCAGGCAGTATGCAATTATTATATATTTTTTTAAAACTCATGTTAGTTATAGTCATTCCTTTGTTTACAAATACCTTTCTAAAACTTTGACCATGCTGCACCACATCCAGCTACGTTATGGTATTCCTGTCCTCCTGACTCATGATCTGGTCCGTAACACATCCCAACAACCTGCTGTGTGGCAGCACAACCACAGGGATACCGTACCTTGCAGGGGGGTGGAAACACACAGGGGAGCCTGAAGTGGGTGTAGAGGGTACTTTTCCAGTTTAGTTACTGGTATTGAATCTGAATGTAGGATTTGATAAAAATATTACTGGAGATTATCTGATAAAGATGGAAGACTATGAAAGTATAGAGATTAGTAATCCTCCAAGAATTTCTTATATTAACTTTTTTTTTTTAATCTATCTTGAATTCTCAGAGTAATTTTTTTGAAATCTGACTTGATAGTGGAAGGGACACAATGGCATTTTCTAGCTGGAGGAAGAACAAGGTTATGATAAGCTGGAAAGAACAAGTCAAACTCTTCCTAAAAGCAATTTAGTGTATTGTCAGTTATTTATATTTAATTAGTCAAAAAGAAATATTACCTGAGAAAATAGTTCACAAATAATTCAGTTTGTTTTTGAAGATTAATTTTTAATTTTTCTTCTGTTTTTTGGCAGCTTTCATTGTTCAAACAGAAGTATCAGAATAATTTCTTTTAGTAGCATGCACTTTGTTGTAAACTATTTCATTTCAAATAGCTAGTCAACCATAATGCTATAATCTGTGATGATTCAATTGGCCTTCTTTACTGGTGAGACTTCCATTCACGTATCTATTTGTGCAAATTTCACACGTTGAAATAGGTGAAAAAATTGTTTCTTTACATTGTCCTCAGACCTATCATCTGGCAACTCTGATATGACTTTCCTTTTTCTTTTTTAAGCTATGATGTTGACTCCAAGAGTCCTAACCTATCAAAACATGTAAGTTTTTCCTTGCTATTATACTTTCTTGTGCTGAAATGCTTACACTTTCCTAAATATGTTTATTTTCTTTTGACTGTAAGTAATACCAGAGACATAGAGACAAATACAGTGATTGTGCTGCGGTTAATAACATATATAATGCTTGTGAGTATATTTTTAATGGGACGGTCCTCCTGTAAAGGGCATATTTAAGCACACATGTATACCTTTTCAGTTATATGTGATACGCTGCATTTTGTTGATAATTCTCTGGGTCCTAAAAATTGTAAACATGTTTTGATTGTGTCCCAATTAATATTAGTGGAAAACTTTTATGCCCGTGTCATCTTGAAGTGGAAGGGATTAAGTAGTAACTTTAAAATTTAGAGATGCAAGAGTAGAATTCAGAGGCTTCTGAGTGATTTTTTAAAAATAAATACAGGAAGGCTTGGGTAAGAGAATGTTTAAGAATCTGGAGTGAAGGAAAAGAGAATAATGGAAAGAATGTTGTGTGTGTGTGCGCTTCTTCACAGTGAAAAGATAAGACTTTTAGCTATTGATTTCCAGTTAGGTCCTCCCTGTAAAGGTTAAAAGGCCCTGGCAAACTGTTTTCCATCACTGTCCTCGTGGAAAGGTGTCTGAATAACTGCAATGCTGGCTAGGAGAATGCAGAAAATAGAAATCTTCCCTATACTGTCTTCAGCAAGGATAAAGCCTTATCCTGAGCTTCTGCCCAACATTGTTTGCACTTCTGTAGTAACTAGTTTATCTGAATTATTTTCTTTTTTTCCCCGAAACATGCTTCTTTGTACAAAAACTTCATAATTAAGTTTTAAGAAAAAAAGGTAAGACACAAGATAAGTCTATCGCTATGGCAGTGCAAACAAAGATATATGCAAATACAGAGCCATTGTTTGATTACTGGAACAGGAATTGAAGGTTTGAGTATCTTGCTGAGCTTATGGAAAAAAGGACAAAACGAGAAAACGAACCACTGTTCTTCTGAAGACTATTCAAGCAGATCTTGAATTGCATATGTGCATGTTACATTCTAATTAGTACAGGCTAAGCACACTCAGACGCATTAGGTCCTGGTTTTTAAACAGTGCCGATTTCCTGGAATCTTCAGTTGTTGAGGGAAGCTTTATTCTTTAGACTTTAACATTAGTATCAGAAATATCTATTTCCTATGAGTGGAAAACTGTACAAGCTGGTGTAGATTTGGTATCTGTGCTTAAGATGTCCAAACTATGCCATATAATATTATGTACATGAAGAAGACAATGGCTCTGAGAACCCTCTGAAAGACGGTAGCTAAAAATGTCTTTCTTAACTGCAGCAATTCATTTCCAACATTTACTAAGTGCTCAAGATTGGTCTGGATTGTTCCTTTTGCTGCCAGCTTCCTGCATCTCTTTACCATTGCTCTTAAGAATTTCGGTAGTGAGTAGGTAGTGAGCAGAGCTTTGCTCATAGCAATGCACTGCAAGCTTGGTGTTTCTGAAAAATGTCAGGGCCCTAATATTTGCATAGCTAGACTGCTCCTGTGCTGTACTCACCTCATTTTGAATAAGGTCTTCCTTGTTCCTAAAAATAGCTGTTGACCTAGTCCTTTGGAAATACTGGGCAGTTTCATTTAATAGTTGAACAGTTTGGGGGATGAAAATAGAGTCAACCTGAAGAATTTCAGTGACTCAGTTCTGGCAAAATGACAAGCAAATTAAGTAAGTCTTATAAAGGATGTATGAAGTAACTAGACTAGACAGTGCTGCCATTGTAGGTGTCTGTAAAACGTTTATAAAACTGGCTACCTGAAATTAGACTTTTATGTTCATGGTAACTTCCTGATTTAAGAGAAAAACAGCTGAGTAATGAACAATTATCATTCGTAACAGACTGTGGAACTGGTAGGATTTAATCATAGAAATGCCACCAAAAAAAAAAAAAAAAAAGAAAATCATGGAATATATAGTTTCAGTGTAGAAAATGGTGTTATTTTAGAATATGTCATGCCTGATGTTTTTAGAAATGAATGAGGAGCTGAGTATTTTCAGATGAATTTTAGCCATTTTATAAGACTTAATCTTTATGGAAACAGTGTCAAGGTATCAGATCAGTTAAAGGACCTAGTTCAAAAATTTATTTTTTGCAGGGTTATTTTCCTCTTCAGGGGGGATTAGTTCTCAGATCCAATTTGCTATACGGACCCATAAGTAACACAGCTCAGAGATGGGAATGAGTGGCATGGGCTGAGAGAAGAGTCAGAACTACTTGTACAGATATTTGCTACTATATACAGTATCATAAAGTTATAGTTTGCTGTATAGGAATTATAGTATCTTGATTCTCATTACTGTTTGTGAACAAATCTCACAAGCTACTAATATTACAGTGTTACCACCACTGCCGCTGATGCTGGGAAGAACAGCTAACAAGCTCTTTTCACTTGCAAGATAAGGAGTTGGACTGCAGCATAATCTTTTTTTTTTTTAATATACATACAACAGTTTGAAACTCCATTCGTATTTTTATACTAATGTTACAGAGAGATATAATATGAAAATTAGGTGATTTTTAGTGATACATTTAATTATAAATCATGAAAATGAAGTCTGTCATTGAAGCAATGTTTGTGTACAATTGTCAAGCCAGGATGCTCATACACATCATGCACAGGCTTGAACTTCTGCCAACGTATTAACTTCCAATAAATACATAGAATCCCTATAGAATCTCTTCATAAAAGAGAAATTTGTTAAAATGCTGTAGTTAAAGAAAGTAAACAGTCATGTTATTAATACTTTTAATTTTTTTCCATGTTAGTTTCTTTTTTGTTGATGAAGAAGGCAATATAAAAATAGTAAGCGCAGTGCATTAGAATTACTTGTGTAAATGTAACCCAGTGTTATGTGAAATATGTAATAGTGATTCTATTTTGTGATTCATAATTGCATAATTATTATTAAGATACAATGTTCAGCAGACTGTGTTCTACAGTAGTGAACAGGCCAGATAAATGAGAAACCAAATTTGTTTCAATGTGAAATATGAATTCTGAGTTTTTATGTTACCGCTTTTCAGGATTTTTTGGGACAGATGTTTTGTACACTGGGAGAAATAGTTGGGTCACAAGGAAGCAGACTGGAAAAATCAATTGTGTAAGTATGTCATTCTTGAATGTTGGATGAATACATACTGATTCATGAGGTGAGAGTTCTGAGGGGTTTTTTTGCTGTGAGGTGTCTTGATATATGGAATTGACAGACATGGCTTCTAAGAGAATAAATTGTTAGGTACAATAGAAGTCTTTCTTTATAGACTACGATAATTTAAGTTTCAATTTGGACAATTAGTAAAGGAATTGACTCATCCAAAATTTTTGTCAACTTCATTACATCTTGCATTAGAAATAGTTTGAGTATACTAATCTTAAAAATGTTTTTCTTTTTAGTTCACAAATTAACACATCATAAATCTTTATTGCCTGTTGTTCAAGCATCAAGGAAGAAAATGCTCACTGTTTCAAATCCAAACATTCCTATTTGTATTTCTATTGTTCCAAATAATACAATTCCCAAACAATGAGTCAATCTGGAATATCAAATATTTTCTATTTATCCTACTAAATTTATCAAAAACTTTATGATCAATGGATTTTTCTCCCACTGAGAGGATTTTGATATTTGCAAACCGTTGTTCTTAGCAATGTACAGATATTTAAAATAAAATTATTTGAACAACCTTCATTTTCTATTCCTAAATAATATTTGAGTAATTGGCAATATTTTACAATTCTTATATAAATTTATGCTACAAATTCACATATGACATTAAAAACAAACATTTAAAGGTATAGCTGGACATTTCATGTGATGCAGATATCTTTTTGATTTGGAATTTTTGTTGGGTTTTGGTTTTTTTCTTTTAATAGTAATTGCACTGCAGTGAATGATCATTAATTTGTTTACTCTGGCTGATGGAACATTCTTCTTGTCCCGTTTTCCTGGGTTCATTATGAGTAATACACTAGGGTTACTTCATTTACTTCATCACTGATTTCCCTATAAGGACAGAAGTTTTCAGGCTTAGCAAGCCTTCTCTTATTCTGGGCCACAGGACTTTGTATTCAAATAACAAGAAATAGGATCTGGGTGAACTACAACAATTTGCAAAATTCAGATTATACTTAGATATTATTTTAGTATAAGTGCAAATAGAGGAAAACTCTCTAATGGAGTTATATTAATGGTGCACTATTGGTCTGATGTAACATTCTTAAGAAATATGTTTCTAGCTGTACATTTTCTTCTATGTATACATTTGATGTAATTAATAATTTCTGTTACTCAGATGACCCTTTTATATCTATCTTTAGTCATTTATATGATTTATACATTACTTACCTTTTCATGAATGCGTCTTGTATCCTGTACTTGTAAACTTCAAACTTAAACATTAGTTTAAGTAGTAGCTTTGAGGTCTGTGAAAAATCTCAGAAGTCAGTATTTTGTTATCAGTGTCCAAAATATATTAATGGTAGCCTTTTTCCTTAGATTTTATTAGAGACTTTTTTCTTGTTTATGTAAAGAACTTAATATCATTGGTGAAATAATTTTTAAAAAAGCATTTATCTAGTTTGTATCAAATAGCGTTGTGATGTTCTGTGGAGGTGGCCCTAAACTTTTATTCTTGGTGAAAACAGTGGCTAGCTTCAAGGAGACCCACATATGATAGCTATAATTTTCTCTTTCAAGGACTTTGAAGTGTTGAGCTGTCATGATAAAAACTCTTCTCAGTACTTGAATACAAATAAATTCTTAAAATTTTTATGATTCCAATGCAAGCGTAAGCTTGGAAAAGCATCTGAAGTTTTCTGTTTCCATGCCAAAAATAATTTCAGGTTGTCACTAGAACTCTTTCTGGATGAAATAACAGTTCAAACAGACTGTTTAAATTGATAAATTGAGAATTTACATAGTTTTCCTTTAATCTAAGAGTCCTTATGATATCATAAAAACTTTAAAATAAAGTAAAAGAAATATTTCCATTATGAAAACTATTGTAAACTTTCTTGAATTATATTTTAAGTTTAGAAAATATTTTAATGGGATTGAATCTACTTGAATTTCTGAGACTTACGCATACCTGAAACACAAATCCTTTTGAATCATAAATGTTGGGGTTGGCTACAACTGCTTTGTAGGGAGGCATTC